AAAGCTAATTTTATCGACTACAAAGATCATGCTATGGCTATTTCACTTTTCGAATCGAGCCGAACTACGAGGGTCGCCATTTTGTTTTGCCCGAAAGTTCTCGCAAGATCTACTCCTCCTCTCTTCTCTCTCTCTGTCTCTTTCTGAATACTACTATCGGTGTGGACGATCAAATTGACCAAAACAAAGTTAAAAAATGATGTTAAAACACAAAAGTAAATTAATTTGGTCGTCTACAAAGATGCTACGGCTAATTTAAATTTTTGAATCGAGCCGAACTACGCGGGTCGCCATATTGTTTTGCCCGGAAGTTCTCGCGCTAGGCCTACTCCTCTCTCTCTCTCTCTCTCTTTCTCTCTCTCTCTCCACTGCCCACAGACAAAATTGTACGCTTTGAGAAATTAATAGGCTAACAGTAGTAATGGAACGTTTGTTCTCGGCACAGAATTCTTCAATTTTTCTGTTATCACTGTGTAGAATTCTGTGGTTTAGTGAACGCAAAATTGGCTGGCCTAGATCTAGATCTAGGCTATAACGGTGAACGCACACCGGGTGAGAATAGCCAAAAGACTCGCCTGCGCTATTCTCACCCGGGGTGAGAATAGAGGTAGCCTTATTCTCATCCTGGATGAGAGGCCTACAACTGCACTGTTCTCACCCCGGGTGAGAATAGAGGTGGCCTTTCCGTGTAAATAGAATAGAGTACCAGTGACCGGTCACCTCGGCCGTCCGAACAAGTCGGCCAACCGCCTAAACAGTGTTGTTCTAACTCGTTTTGATGGGAAATCTTTTTAATTTATTAACCAATGGTAATCTTTGTTAAAAAAGTAAAAAAATTTCACACATTTTGTTTCCCTTTTATGAGATTACATGTGATGAAGCTACAGCGAGCACCTAGCACACCTCTGTGATTGGCCCAAATATGACGGTTTTGCGCCATCTATTTTTGTTTTTTGGGGTTTCCCTCGCCAGTAACTGTTGACTAGATTTTTACCGTGTTTTTGGTATTAATTTCTTTTATAACACTCTCAGCAATGCTCGTACCATAAATTTATCTTCTCCTGAAAGTTGTACACTCACACACACAAGCGCGTGCGCACATACACACACACACACACACACACACACATGCGTGCGTGCACACACACACACAGCCCATGCAGTCGGCGTTTCAGAAACATAGTGATGTAGCCCATCGCCCGCTAAGCGGCAAAGCGGGCCCGTTACCGTGAGATCTAATCAACTGGCGAGGGAAGCCCCGGAAGGCGACAAAAATAGATGGCGGAAATATGTCATATATCTATATTTCAATTTGGGCCAATGACAGATGTGTCCTAGGTGCTTGCTGAAGCTTCATGTCGTTTCCCTTTCACCCATTTTGGGTCCCTTTTGTTACCGAGATGTATGGAGATGGACTGAGATGTTGGCTAGGTCTAGAGGAGATCTGCCCTCTTATGACAAAAGGCTATTATAGATCCTATATAATGCGTATGTTTTGAGCTATTACTTGAACATAAATGTTGTGCTGTAGGGGCAAGCACTAGTTAAACACATGTGACATCCATGAACAGTTGTTCCAAGACTGCTTTTTAATTGATCTAAATTGTATGACACACAGGGGAAGTAACTCCTGAAATACTAGTACCATACTTGGTGTGATAACCGTGTCTTGGATGATGGTGACGTAGATGGTGATGATGACAGAAAAGGAGATGAAATTGGTGGCACAGGAGATGAAGTTGACAGAGTTGATGTTGGGGAGCCAACAGGAAAGCTGGAAGCTATCTTCTTCTTGGTATTTAAGGTAATTTCTTTCTCTCTCTCTCTCTCTCTCTCTCTCTCTCTCTCTCTCTCTCTCTCTCTCTCGCTCTCTCTCTGTCTCTCTCTCTCTCTCTCTCTCTCTCTCTCTCTTCTGGCGCTGTGGCTTCATAAATGGTCAGTGATGCCGTCAGCACGCAGGAACTCAACACTTGCCCAGGGGTCCTTAAAAAGTGCTGAAAGTGGGTTACTGAAATGTCCCAGCAGACGGGTTCTAGCACAATAGCTGGCGGGACATCTCAGGAACATATGGTCCTTAGTTTCGTCCTCCTCCTTGCAGGCTCGACAGGATGGATCTGGCGCAATTTTGTGGAGATATGATCTCAGCTTGGGCGATTTTCCACCAGTTCTCATTTGGGAGAGAAGCCGGCGGTCCTGTCGTCTGAACGAGGCCTCAAACTGGTATGATGGCGGCCGGGCAAACGGCAGTTTGGGTTTCGCCTCTCTCTTCCACTTTGCGCGGGTCGATTGGTGGATGGCGGCTTTAGTTGTAGAGAAATCGATTGGCGTGTCAATCTGGGTAAGAGCTGTTGCTTCCTCGTTCCCAGCCAGTCCAGCGTGGCCTGGAATTCACTGTAAGTGGATGGAACATTCAGAGCGTTGACAGGGGGAGGGGGTGTCCAGATGCTGCCAGATCGAGCAGGCCACGATTGGTTGGTAGGGCCGTATGAGAGGCGCATGACTGCTGACCTAGAATCAGTGTATACATGGATGCGTACATTGTTCGGAAGGCTGCCTGCTGTATGTAGTGCAACAAGCATGTCCAGCGCTGTGTCGAAAGCTACAAGCTCGGCCCTGTAGCTGGAACAATACCAGCCCGCGGGTACACGTTGGTTGAGTTCGGTATCACCGGTCTTGATCGGTATTCCACTTCCTCCATGCTCAGTACCGTGCTTAGCTGAACCGTCAGTCCAGACTTCTACATCGGGCAGGGGGAGCGATCGAATTGTAGCCTCTGCTGCCGCTTTCCTGACAGCTGGTTCATTAGCACGCTTGCAGTGGCAACTTCTTTGCTGAGGGGAAAGAGGCCAGCCCATCTAAAGCCAGCCCTTGCCACCTCTGCTGTACAAGATTTCGTATAAGCTTCCTTAAATACCAAGGCAAATGTTGACTTTGTTACAGACATCCCTGGATTTTTTGTCTGGAAGTCCATGACAGCTTCTCCCCAGTGGTGTCATTTTCCTCTACTTTTTTCGTATGTTTGTCACACTTTTGTGACCCGCTATTTCCGGGGTGCCTTTATAGTCGAAGAAAACTTTGTGCTGCTGAAGCTAGAGAGATGAGCAGAGTAAGTCTGATTCCCTGTAAGGATTTCTCTGTTGACATCCACCCCTTGGCGCTCATATGACCTTATAATGCAGTTGCGAGCACCGTAATTATGCTCTAGGCAAAAAATTCCGTTCGTCTCTGTTCAGCTCTCTACACCTATCAGTGGGGCTAAAAACATGCACGGCATCTAGACCATGGAAATGAAATTCAGCGCGGCTTTCGGCATTAACTTTATCGGGTTAATTGTTTTGTTTTTCGGTTATTTTCCTCAAAACAATTCTTTTACTATGTCCGAATTTTGAGTTTTTATTAACTTCTCGGACCATCTCTGTACATCTCGGTAAAAATAGGTACCGCCCGTTTTCACTGAATTTTTGCGACAGAGCCAGTTAAATCGAAAGGTAAGTCCACCATTTTTCATCATCTTCATAACAGGAGCTATGCATACTCATAAGGTCATGGCATAGGCATGCACTGATGCTATATTACTACGTCATATGACCTGGGACGGAAGGGAGTTTTTTTTTGTCTATTCTGGGAACGAGGGGAAGTCCCTTCTTGCATTAGGAGTGATGTGGTAGGAAGGCAAGTCAACCAGACTAAAAATATTATGTGTCCGGGTTGTTCGGCCGGGGTTGGCCGAGTTTTGTGGACGCAGTTGGCACATATTAGCCACATGCACAATGTTTTAAAAAAATATATTTTCAAGCTTATGGAGTTGTTTGAAGTGTCTTTTTATTTGACAGAATAATGTAACATAGATGTCATAGTTTGAATGACTGGTTTTCGGGGTGATTGGGATGAGACTGATGAGTGAATGGGGGCTGGGAAATTTTTTTGAATTAATATTTATAATGCCATTTTCTTTTTCGTCTTAACAATTTTTAACAACAGCTGCCTTATATTATTCATTTTATTTTATCATCAGATGGACAGACAATCAAAGCTTAAAGCTGCATATGAAGCCGTCAAAGGCGGAATGCCAATTCGGGCTGCTAGCAAGCAGTTTGCCGTCCCAAGGTCAACTCTGCAAGACAGACTTGCACAACGCATTCCTCTGGAGAAAACACCAAAAACGTTGCTGACACCAGAGGAAGAAACCAAGGTAATTGTAACATATTATACTATTGGTATATGGAGAGAGGGAGAGAGAGAATACCCAGTGTATCTGATTAATGACTTAAGTTCCAGGTTATGATGTGCAAATATTGTCAATATAATGTCCTTGTTGTCACAGAGTGATGTAAGCAAAAGAAAAATTGTCTTTATGGTCGGTAAAGATCTATTATTATACTTTGTGATCTTTTAAGCAAATATGTCTTACCATTTTACTTGTTGTGTGGTAATCATAATCAATGGTGTGACTGTTGTGTGGTTAACCTCCTATAGGCCAAATCAAAACTATTCTTTGTCAACTGTCTTAAACTCATTCTTTTCTTTCTCTCTTTTGTAATCTAGTTCTCTCAATGGGCCATCAATATGGCGAGGGCTGGCTTTGGTCGAACAAGGAAGGACTTCCTCACCAGCATCCAGGGCTACCTGAACCAGCTCCATGAACCGCAGCTGCGATTCAAAAACAACAACAAACCAGGGAAAAGTTGGTGAGACAATTATTCTGTGACATCGTCATATTTGAATGTGATGGTATACTTGACCCCAAGGGGTTTTTAATTTTATTCCCTAAAACTACAGTATCTTTGCTCTTTTGCAACTTCATTGCTGCAAGTTTATACTCTCCTCAGAAATTCAGAATCGATGTCGGTTGAATCCTCCTTCCATTATGGTATTAGCATTTTGGTCACATCTTTAACGTTTTAAAATTGTCAGTTAGTTTTAGTTAGGTTTTACGACACTTGCAACTGCATACGGTCATATGAGCGCCAAGGGACTGATGTCAACAGAGAAGTCCAAATGGGGAATCAGGCTTACTCTGCTCACCTCTCTAGCCTCAACAAGAGCTCACAGTCTGCTTCGACTATCAAGGCACCCCGGAAATTGCAGTTCACTAGAGTGTGACAAACGTAAAAAAGAAGTAGAGGAAAAGGATGATAGTAAGAATGAGGAAAGAAAAAGCAGCAGTTCCCCCAATGTTGTTCCGGCAGAGTATGAGCATGACATTGATAAATCAGCCCATTGACAATTCTACTGTGCATAAGAACATGTTATCCCCCCCCCTCCCCGTTTACCGTTTAAACTTGTCAATAACGTCACGGCTTTTTCACAGGTACTATGACTACCTGAAACGCCACCCAGAGCTCACGGAGAGGTATGCAAGTGCTCTGGGGTATGAGCAGGCAGTTGTGACCCCGACGAAAGTGGAGGACTGGTTCCAGGCCCTGGAGAAATTCATCCAGGAGGAGGATCCTTCCTTGTTGAACGAGCCAGCCCGCTGGTACAACGCGGATGAGTCTGGTTTCGAATTGTGCCTGAAGTCCAAGAGAGTACTGGTGCCCAAATCTTGCAAAACAGACGGACATCTGGATCTTAACACTTCAACAAAACATCAAATCACCTCATTATGTTGCATGTCAGCCACTGGCCATTTTATTTCCCCATTTGTTGTATTTCCTGGGAAGCGGTTGACTGTGAACCAAACAGAACATTTCCAGGACTGCTCTGTTGGGTTGAGTGAAAATGGATGGATGACTGGTGAGTTGTTTGCAGATTGGTTGGAACGTGTGTTTGTGAAAGAGTTGGATGAATGCGGAGTGGAACGGCCTGTCTTTCTCTTCGTGGATGGGTCGAGTACCCACAAAAGCGAACAGGCGAGTAACATTTGCTTGAAGAACAGAATAGTTTTGTACTGTGTTCAACCAGATGCCACTCATCTGCTGCAACCACTTGACCTATCCTTCTTTGGCAGCTTAAAACACCACTGGGGAGAAGCTGTCTTTGACTTCCAGACAAAAAATCCTGGGATGTCTGTGACAAAATCAACTTTTGCCTTGGTATTTAAGGAAGCTTATACGAAATCTTGTACAGCAGAGGTGGCAAGGGCCGGCTTTAGAAGGGCTGGCCTCTTTCCCCTCTGCAAAGAAGTTGCCTTAAATACCAAGAAGATGATGGCTTCCAACTTTCCTGTTGGCTCCCCAACATCATCTCTGTCAACTTCATCTCCTGTGCCACCTATTTCTTCTCCTTCTCTGTCATCAGCACCGTCTGCGTCACCATCAACCTCGTCAGCTGCCCCTTTGAAGACTCCTTCCTCGCCTTCTCCTGCAGAAAAGTTGAGGGTCTTGGAGTCGATCATGACAGACGAGATAAAGATGAAATTTGCTCTCCGTTTTGCAGAAGGATACGACCTCGTGGACGATCCTTTCTACACTGCTTGGAAGGAGAACAAACTTATATCCTTAAGGGCATCTCCCTCTGCTAGTCCTTCTCGTGACTCTCTCACTGCAGAGGTGTCCCTGTCTTGTCCTATTCAGTGTCGTTCTTTCACCTCAGCCGAGTGCCCTCCTTCCACGTCTTTTTCTTCACCTCAACCTTCCACCTCTGGTAATGACAGACATTCTTTGACCGCTTCAGCAGAATCAAACTCTGTCCACCCTGTGTCTGCCGCCATTTCTGTCTCATCTCTCAACATCGATGATTTCCTGATTTCCCAAACCCCTCATGTGCCTGTGCGGAAAGGAAAAGTTTTGCAAAAGGTTGTGCCAAATACGACTTTAACCGGTGAGGAGACAATTACATATTTTAAAGAAATGGAAGAGGCAAATCTGAGTGAGGAGAAGAAGAAGGGAGAAAAGAAAGCAGCCAAAGAGGAGAAGAAGAGAAAGAGAGAAGAGAAGAAACGAAAACATGCAGAAAAAAAGCAGAGAAAGACTGAGGAAAAGAAAAGGCGGGCTGAGGAGAGCGGGAAAAAGATGGATGAAATGAGGGAAAAGAGAGGTAAAGGAAAGGGGAAGGCTGCAAAACATTTGAGGTTGGAGGTAAGCAGTAGCTCTAGTAGCAGTGAGGGTGAAGCAGAGATATGAGGTATCGTGGTGAAATCAGGCGCCCGTCAAAATATTGAAATCAAAGTAAGCAGCATTTTTCCTAAAGTTTGGCAATTTTTACCGAATTGTTGTTTGTTTTGTTTTTGTTGTTGTTTTTTTTGGCTCAACTCTTAATGTCCATTTATAAAAGGAGATTTCCCTGTGAATTTTACTGAAAGTTGGCAGAGTTTTTTTCAGTTTTCCAGGACTCACAGGCTGTATAAGTTACCAAACTTTGGCTGTTATTTTCTCGCTAATTAAATTTAACCCATGATACCGGACTATTCCGATTTTCTTCGATCGCAAACAATCAACTTCTATTTTTGAGAGATTAGTACTTTTTTCATCGAAAGCAAGAGAAATAAACAGGCTTTAAGTTTAAGATGATACAAATGACTCCATAAAAATTGACGAGCCCCTGATTCCACCACGTCATGACACATTTGTATTTGAGTAATGAGTCTGACGTGGTGAGTGTGAGTGATGTCTGTCTCGGGCGTGTGAATGGGAATGAATGTTGAATGTTGTGGGTGCCATGGCAGTATTATAAGAATGTAGAGGCCAGAACGTGGGTGGGATGTTATGCGTGTGTGAGAGATGGTTTCACAAGAAATGTGTAAAAAGTGTAGATGTGCTTGGGTTGAGTGATCAGCACCTGGAGGAGCTTGATTTTGTATGTGATGTCTGCCTCTCTGTTAAAATGTAAATATCCCCTATCCTGTGCCAAGAATAAAATTTACAAACTTTAATTGACTATTTAAAAAAGACATTGTTGTTCCATTCATTAAAAGAGAATGAAGAGAATTCATATGTCGGTCACTCTGTTTGTTTGTCCACTTGTCTGTTTGTTTTTAGTGTCTGCTATGTGGGTGGTTGGCATGTGCTCTGGTGTGGTTTGCTCCTCCTTCTTTCCTATCAAACAACTAACATCTTTATCTCTCCTCCTTCTTTTTCATATTTGTTACTCTCTTGATGTAGCACCTCTAGTCTTCGGCATTTATATGACCTAATTGTGTTGCAAGTGCCGTAAAACGCTTACAAAAAACATAAAAGTCATAAGTGTCTTCTGTCTGTCTACCTCTGTCTCTTCTCTCTCTGTCCCTCTCAGATGTGGAGTCTTTTTATCGTTTTTTTTCTCAAAATGTCTCTACTCCTTATTACGAAACTATGACGATGAACATCAATGATTTGAGTGTCCTAATTATACTCCTGACTCAGAATATTTATCACTTTGGATGTAAAGGTAGTCTTACGGTTTTTATTCACACTACAGAGATAAACATGGGTGTTATTTAACATAATTCTAGGTAGGTGGGAGCTCTCGTGCCCTAGAGGTTAAGGTGTTCACCTCTCTTTCAATTGGTCCTGGGTTCGAACCTGGATTGCGACAGAAATCCCTTGGTGGTCCAAAATTGATAAGAGTAGGCTTCGGCTGCCACCCGGGCTACATTCAAAATTTCCCACCAACTGAAAATGTTTAATGTGTCATGCACTCATATGACCTTATGCAGTTGCGAGCGCCGTAAAAAACTTACTAAAAAAAAATAAATAATAATTCAAGGTGGCCAACGTTCCCAGACCATTTCCAAGTGGGTGGTTGGCGGGTGCTCTGGTGTGGTTTGCTCCTTCTTTCCTATCAAACATCTATCGTCTTTTTCATCTCCCCTTTTTTGTGTTATTACTCTCTTGTAACACCTGTAATCTGTCGGACTTATATGACCTTATTGTGTTGCAAGTGCTGTAAACACTTACTAAAATTAACTGTTTCCAAATGGGTAGCCAACCTTTCTGGACCGCTCCGACCGACTCGTCCGGTCCCAGCCGAAAACGAGCCAAAAATGCAAAATGAAATTTGACCAAGTGACTCACAAAAAAATTGTAAATAGTTACATTCCACTGCCAATATCATATATAGAGGGCGCTTTTCTGCTTCTTTTATGTGGTCTCCGGTCTCCCGTGTGTCAACAACGATTGGAGGTCTCACAACGTTGAAATCGAAGAAAAAATTCTTAGAGGGCTGAAATGCCCAGTCAGTACTCGAGATCTAGATCTAGCTAGAAGTTACAAGGCCTATCATATATCCTTATACAGATAGCTTGAATTTGTCAGGCCCAGCCTCGGTAGTCTGGGGGATATCTTACGAAGACAAAGTAAAAAAAGAAAAAAAACGGGGCCAAAGGCACAGTTCAACGGATGCTTGACTTCGAGTCTTCTGTGTTTTCGGCCTATCCGTGTTTTTTTTAGTGTACTTTCACTTTCAAGCTTTCAGTTACAGTATTGGAAGAGGCATTAGACCAATACAAGTGGCGTCTGTGGTGTAGTCATTAGGTCTTTTTGCTGTCACATGTAGTAGACCTAAGTTTGTCTCCCGAGTGGGGAGAATATTTTCAAGTATCGCAAGGTTCTTTTGTCGAGGACACTACACTGTACCCTCTCAGTCTGGGTTGGCCCTGACAGGTATGGTAGGAAGCCAGCCTCCTAAATGGTCTTAATAGTTTCGATGAGGGCTTAAAACCACCTACACATTGAAAAAAACCCCATAGAGTTACAATGTACCAAAAAGCCTACATATTTTACATAAGAAAAGGTACATCTTTATTGTCCTGATCCTGGCACATTGGTTTGGTGTTTCACAAGGTGCACACACACTCACACCACACACACACACACACACACACTCACTCACATAAACAATAATAATCTTAAGCTTTATAGATACCTACTCAGTATTCTGATGTCATTTGCCATGTTGTCCCCAGGAGTTGTTCATTCAGAGCCTGGCAAAGGAAGCTGCTGCCCGGACCTTGAGGGAGAAGAAGAAGACTGTCCTGCGGAAACATTTAGGTGAGATCCACAATGCACTTATTTACAGTATGCTTGTAGTGTGCCTTGTTTTGTCAAAAATACAGTCTAGCTTTCACATAGCGAAACATGCACAAGGAGAACAGTTTTCAGGTCCCAAACTCTTTGTCTTAATACCAGTAATGCATATTAAATCTCATTACACTGTATATTAAATTCTTTGTATTTAAAACATGTACTAGTGTTCTTAAACCTGTATGTTCTGTGATATAATGTCAAGCTTTTTTTTATTTTGACTATATTCTTTGGTATGTTGAACCATGATGTTCTGTGATGTGTTGAACCTCTATGTTCTGTGATATGTTGAACCTCTATGTTCTGTGATATGTTGAAACTCTATGTTCTGTGTTATGTTGAACCATGATGTTCTGTAATATGTTGAACCTCTATGTTCTGTGATATAATATGTTGAACCTCTATGTCCTGAGATATGTTCCACCTCTGTGACTGACTCTTGTGTTCCTTTTTTTTCCAGACACAGTTTTTGACACAAAGGATTGCTTTTCTTTCCTGGAGGGTAAGTGTTGACATAAGGAGCTCCCCCCCCCCCCCCCCCCCCCCCCCCGTCCTTAGGCCATTCCCAAAGAGGAGACTTTTACCATGTTCTTATGCACAGTAGAATTGTAAATGGGCTAATTCAACAATGTTATGCTCATCTGTGCCTGAACTGCAGCAGGCAACTGCTGCTTTTTCTTTCCTAATCTTTACTATCGTCATTTTTTCCTCTACATCTTTTTATTTGTCACTCTCTTGTGACCCGTTATTTGCGGGGTGCCTTGATAGTCGAAGCAGACTTTGTACTATTAAAGCTTATACAATTGCGGGCTTCGTAAAAACTCTACTAACACAAAACAAAAGGTGCCTAAGTGTTGGGATAAAGAGTGTAAGTGTAAGGAGGATAAGTTTTCAAGATTGGAGGGTAAGTGTTGGGGTGGGGGGAGTGTTGGGGTAAGTGCTCAGGAAAGGAAGGTAAGTGGTGGTGGCGGGTGTGGTAGAATAAATAACCATGATCAAAAGTGACTCGTCAGGCCACAAACTGAACTTTACTAGGCATTGTGTGCCTGACTAATTAGTAATTATTATATGATATATATTTATAATGTAGTCATTTGCCTTGTGTTAGTGTTACGAGAGTGAAAGGTGGAAACTGATGTAGGTTTACAACTTCAAGTTGGGTTATTGTTGGGGGGGGGGGGGGTTCTTTTGTTGTAGTCTGTGGGGGTGGTTCATTGGATGCGTCACTGGTAGTGGTAGGTCCTACTTTTCTCTCTATCCCTTGATTCTGTCTGTCTGTCCTACTCTCTCGCTGCAGTGAGTACAATGACTATGAATGTTGATGGTCCGATGTGCTTTGCACCCCTCAATATGCGAAAGTTTTAGTACAGTATAACATGGATAGCTCGAATTCGTCGGGACCGACCTCGGTAGTTCGAAGGATCCGTAGTTCGAGGGATATATATCTTACAGAGATAAAAGGTAAAAAAAAAAAAGGTACCTCAGGCACAGTTCGACGGATGCGTGATTTCGAGTCTTCTGTGTTTGACCTATGTTATTGTAGTTTGTCGGAGGAAATTAAAATAATTACTGGAAATTTTATTATTACAATATTTTCTTAATTCTGTTTTCCCAGGTGTTTTGGAGAGCTATGATTCCTGAACCGACCAAAGCTGACTTGGGAAACTGACAACGGGTTTTGTTGGAAAGTTTGAGTGTGTGGATTTATGTTTGGTGACCTGCGTGTACTTGTAGAGGTAACATGGCGGATGATGGTGGGTGGGAGTGACAGTGTGTGTGCGCATGCATGTGTGCGTGTGTGTGTGTTTGAGTGCATGCGTACATGTGTGTACAGGTGTGTGCAGGTTTTTGATTTTGTCTATGTGTTGATTAATGTACAAAATGTATCTGTATGTTTATTGTAGTTTTTTCATATGTGTATGAAAAGGATTGTCGTGTGCATGTGCGTGAGATCTCCCCTGTTTGTGAATAATTGTACACCACTTATGACATGATCTTAGTGGGTTAGGTCGGGGGGAAGCGCTACACCTATCGCTGAGTTTGCCGTTCTTCAGTGAGTTCCTACAGTCGAGAGGTGAATCGTAAGAGACATTCGGGCGGATGCTACAAACTGGACAATTATCAACAAAAACTGGACAATTATCAACAAAAACTGGACAATTCTCAACAGCGTCGGCAAACTCTGGCG